GGAGGTGTCCCTGCCCAGGGCAGGGGGTTTGAACTACATGATCTTTTAGGTCCCTTCCAACCCAAACCATTCTATGATTCTGTGTTTCTTGGTACAGATGATTTTGATTAAAAAAACCCCAAACAATAAAGAGATAAAAGATAAAGGTAAAAAGTGTGCATTTACAGTCTTAAATTGCAGTAACTAAATAGTGTAATTAATATAATTAGCAAGAAGCTATTTACATCTGACAAGTAAGTGGTGAATGACCGCTAACTCAAGTGAAAACTTATAATTGTGTCACAGATTCTTCAATGGCTTTATTCAAGAAAATAAAGCAATACTTATGCCCACAGAACTCCAGTGAAGTAAGTAAGTAGTAGTATCTCAGATGTTAGAAATACGAAACTGTTGAGGAGATTTTCTCAAAGCTCTAGGATCAGCTAAGGACTCAATTCCCAAGAAAAAATTAGTGGGAGTTGAGCTTCCAACTCACACGTATCTTTTTTCAAGATTTGTCTTAAGTGGCTTTTCTAAGACAAAAGGATGGTTCATCTTGGATTAAAATGTAAGAATTCACAGCTCCCAGTTCAGTCAACTAAGCCACATTTTCTCACTGTACCTTTTTGTTTTTTCTTTCATTTCCATGCATGCATGCACATATGATGTTGGTGCCAAGGAGCCCTTGCACAGCAGACATGGCTTAAAAATTTGCTTTCCTGAAGTAGTTCTACTAATGATTGATGGGGTGGACAGACCATCTTTTTCCCCAAACCTTTGAGGATGCTAGAGATTTGGAAAGGTAGGTAATTACTGAAAGGGCACTGTAATTCTAATATACATTTTGTTCTAATGCTGTTATTTTTAATTTGGAGCAGACTTGAGGTGTTTATTAAATTGCTAAATATTTCAAAGACTTAGTTTTTCTTAAAATGAATCCTGAAAGGATAGTTTAGTAATGGATCTTTACAAACACCATAACTGAAATATATAACATGAGGACAGCTGTTAAGATGACTGTTTCCATAACAGCACACATCTACAGTAAGGTCCACAATGACACAGGATACTGTTTCTATGGTAATAGAATGTCTTAGCCTCAAAGATGCACTGAAATCCATTATGAAAAGTAAGAACTAATATTTTAGATTAAAGGGACTTCTTTGTTTATACTTATCTGTGTCTAGCCACTTGTTGTCATCTTTTTCTTTTACTTAGATTGTAAACTTTTTAGTTGCTGACTCTCTTTGGCCTAAAGAAATAGGTGATATCTAGTCATCTTGTCTGTCCTCCTCTTACAACTTTTTAAACTGTTGGTTGATTTTAATCAAGTTAGACTGTGGGACTGGTATGTGTCTGCTGACTGGGACTCAGTAGAAAAGAGTGCAGAAACCCAGAGTGGTGACAGCACTGGTGGGAAGTCCATATGGTGAATTCAGTTGCTTTCTGTCTGGCACAACTGGGGGTGCCCCCTAATCAGGGGATATGGGACAAGCTGTGCTGAGGCTGAGGACAGGAGGACCTGGAGATAGTGGAAAGGAAGGGTAAGGGTATGGAATATGCACTTATGGTGCTTTGTAGACACCATAGTGTCAAGCAAATTGTAACAAATAAATTAGAAGTGTTAGGAGATGGCATAGTAACAATTTCAGCATGGTAGGAGTGAGTGTGCATACAGACACAGACAGACAGACATGCAGATCAGCCCGTCTAGGAGTTTCAGTTTCTGTCTTAAGAAAACGTGAGTTATGCCCCTGCTAAGTAATACCAGATCTTAGCAACACTGATGCTCTCAATTCTTGGTGCTTTTTCCATGTATCTTGAGTTGGCTAGATATTTGGCTGTAAAAATTCTCCCAGATTATTCTTCTAGGGTCAAATTTACAAAGGATCATAATATGTTAGATGTTGGGGTTAACACCTAGCAGATTCCCAACAGAACCTCTGCACTTCTCTGCAGGTGTCCATCAGAAATTAAAACGAATACAACTACAAAGCAGAATACTTTCAGTAATTTCAGCTTGTATTTTGTGCCAAGATGAAGGAATTTTGGGACAGGTTTTTGGAAATTCAGTTTGTGCCAAATAGACACCCGTTCAGTACAGAGTAATTGCAGCTCTCTTCATTACCACCCTATCTATCACCTGGCACTTTAGAAGCAAAGCATGGTCAGGGAAACTTCCAGTTAAAAGTTAACTGTCACATTTCATGGTGGTTATTTAAGGACTCTTTAATAACTTGTAACAGAAGAACAAACAGGCTAAATCTCCACAGTTTTGTATATCACTTATTAGCATGGACAGAAAACTGGGATACCATGTATAGAGTCTGAGCCTGGGGCAGTGAGTGGGTGCTGAAGACTTTTCTTAGCAGGTACCTAGTAGATACATGTTAATAGCTGGAAAACTGCTGATACAGTTTTGGTGTCTGCTTTTGAAAATCGGAGCCATTAATGGTGTCAATAAATTGCAGAAAGTCATGGTAATCCAATTACTGCTATTTTAAAACACTAAGGTTCCTTTGTAGCTATGGAAACAAAAATGCAGACATTAATGAGCAAGGGGGAAAAAAACCTGGTGTTTCCTTGACAACAGATAAAAGCATAGCTCCATGAAACCCAAAGGAGAGAATGACAGAAATACCTTTTACCATGACATACAACTGAAATACGAGTCCAGTGCAATAATATACTTCACTCTACCAGGAAGCTACAAGTTCTCTTTTCACATGACCACTTCCCATCTGTATTCTGAAGTTATCCAGTAGCATGAGGCACTCTGTATGTTTCACTGATCATCTTCATGAGGGTAAGAATTAAAATGGCATGTTAAAGCCTGTGATAAGAACTGGAACGCTTTTGTGGCATGCATGGAGCAGATGAGTGTTGTATATAGCATGCTGAAAGAACTTTTCCGACAACAGGCATGAGATGTAAACAATATGTGCCAACCCTGAGACTGACCTCATGCTTTGCAGTGCAGAGGTGACTAGTGCACTCCACAGAAAGCTAGCCATGGGCAGAGTGGACACTACTATGTCACACCCAGGTGTTGAAGAGCAGTTGTTGTCTGGAGTGCATCATAAATTCTGTGTACATAGATTACCTCTTTTCTCAGTGAAAAACTACAAATATTAGGTAAGATTATGACAAAGAAAGGGATACAAGAAGTGTGCAACTTCAACTTAATTATTATCACTTGAAATTTAGCTGGCAGCTCTCACACAATCCAAAAATATTTTTGTCAGAAGAACTCAACATTGTTCAAAGACAATAAAATAAGAGAGGAATTGTGATAGAGGTAAATAAGAGGACACCAATAAGATTACAGGGCTATTTTTCAGTGGATAGCATACAGCATAAGAGAAAAATTGATATGTAAAATAATGTAATAAAATTAATAAATAGAAGATTTAATTGTCAAATTTCCCATAGTCATTTTGTAAGGACTGAATCTTCAAAACAAAAGGTCTTCCTTCAACTCTATCCAGCTTATGGTATTAAGCGCATCCCTTCAGAGTGGAAAGTGTATCAATCAGTTCCAAATCCTAAATGGTTTTGTGTCTACAGCAATAAAGACCTGAATACTAAGCTACAGGGATGTAGGGTTTCCTTGACAACATGTTGAGAAAAAACACAATTACATGAAAATTTATGAAGAAAATTTAAAAAATATATATTTGAGTTGGTTGAATGGTGTGGGACATGGGTTTACCTATGTGACTGGTACTGCTCAGGGGTCACAGTGATGGGAATCCTGCGTTTCTACAGTTCTAGTTATTGATGCTGCCTTTTACTGCTGTTGACATTGATCTGAAAGCTGGTTCAAATGATCAATGACCCTGTCAAATTCTAGTTTCATTTTCTGTAAAGTACACCTAAGTTAGCGTAGCTGGTGGGTTTTAGAACATTTCTGAATACTATCAGAAGTTCTCAATTTATTTGTTTTTCTATGACAAATAAGAAACAGATGGAAAAGTTAGTATGAGTGTGTGCATGTGTGAAAAACAGCTAACCTTGCTGACTTCTTGAGTTGAAGCAACTGTTCCTCTGAAAGCTACATTGCTTTTAAGTGCATCATAATTGTAATTACTCATATTTATGATGCAATATGCCTGAAAATACTATAGCTTATTACTCCAGCAATCTAAAAGACCTGGAAAGACCCTCCATATTCCTCCTGCAAAACATCTGTTTAGTAGAAGAGGCACCATAACGTCCTCCACTTTTTAACCTTTTAACTGTCAGCAAAAGATAATTTGGGCAAGGAGGAGTAACTGGAGCTTTCTTCATTACCACCCTATCATCTGATACTTCAGAAGCAAATCTAGACTCATACATCTGCTTTTTCTCTCAGATGTCTAATTTTTTTCTTGGGTTGTAGACTATCTTTGTGAATTAATCCATGACACAGTCCTTCACCAGACCTGCTCATGCTGACCTAATACTAAAAAACCAAACCAAATAAAGGTCCAAATCAACACTGTATCATGTTTAAGCATTCAGACCCTTACCTAAAACACATTAAATCTAAAATTTGAAAAAAGGTCTATGAGATTTTAATGGAAGATGGTTTGAGGCCAGCTTTATTTTCCCCTCTCCTTCAGGTGAGTGTCTACAGTCCAGCCCTGCTATTGGGGTGTAAAAATAACCCAAACGTGTTGGGTTTGTGTGTGGCAGGGTTTTGGTGGTGGGGAAGAGGCAACAGAGTGGGCTCCTGAGAGAAGCTGCTAGAAGCTTCCCCAGGTCCAAGCTGAAGGGAAAGACTCATGTGAGTCCCTCCCACAGGGCTGAAGCTCTTCATGAACTGCTCCAGCGTGGGCCCTTCCCACGGGCTGCAGTCCTCCCAACATCAGTCTGCCCAACACGGGCTTCCCTCAGAGCCCCGGCCTTCTTGGGCACAGCCCCTGCTCTGATGTGGGGTCCTCCACAGGCTGCAGGTTGGCATCTGCTCCACCGGTGACCCCCATGGATGGCAGGGGGACAGCCTGCCCTCTCCCCACGGCCTGCAGGGGGTCTCTGCTCCAGTGCACCTCCCCTTCCTTTCTGCAGATGACCTCGGTGTTTGCAGAGGTATTTCCCTCACTACTCGTCCTCCCCATCCCAGGTTCCCCTTCTTAATTACATTATCAAAGAGGCACAACCACCATCACTCATTGGCTCACGACCCATCTGGGTCCAGCTTGGAGCTGGGGAAGCTTCCAGCACCTTCTCACAGGAGCCATCTCTGTAGCCTCTTCCCCACTACCAAAACCCCATCACACACAAACCCAGCACATTTTCCCAAATCGAGTTTGTCTGTTGCCTGTGACTGTAAGTGGTGAGTCATCCCTCCCTGTCCTTGTCTCGACCCCTGAGCCTTTTGTTGTATTTTCTCTTCCCCATCCCTCCCAGGGGAGGAGTGAGCGAGTGGCTGCCTGGTGTTCAGTTGCCTGCTGGGCTTAAACCATGACACACTTCAAAGAAAAAATGCAATTCCTGGTGAAACACTTAGGCTGTATGCACAACCAGCTGAATCTTTTCATTTTTATGATTGTCTTAGCATTTTCTCAGCAGACCTTGAGTCTTTTCCCTATGGGACCCATTACTTTTACCTTGTGTTTTAGTTTTTTCCCTTGTACTGGCTTTTCTTTGGCAAGAATGTTTGCTTCTAATGAAGTCATATCTCTCCCTTTTGCTGTTCAAGCACATTTTTGTCTTTAAGTTCATTTCTCTTGGTCTTTTTTCCTCAGTGTGGCCTGACCAATATATGAGAGTTACGCTCCTCTTTAGGGGGGTGGTTCTTGCTGTCTTGACAAATAGACAAAAGTGCCATATGCATCTTAGTAATTGTTATGCAGTATTGATATAAGGCTAATAGTTGGCTCTCCAATTTGCTAGAATGCTTTAATTCCTCCTGCTTTGAACTGTCTTTTTATATTATTTTTTTTCCAGAATTTTTAATACTTGCTTTAAAAGATCCTGTCAATTTACAGAGTTGTGATCTTTGAGGAAAAACAATCATGTTAGGTAACATGGTGGAAATGTGCCTTTGGTCACAAGAAAGTTGTGTAGGCAACAATGATTTCTGTACATTAAAACTTAAGAGTTCCCATCTATAAAAGAAATACTGCTATTCGTGATAACTGATAGTAATATTATGTAATGATTTTTCATGGGGATTAGTCCTCAGAGAAGGATTAGGTGTATTTTGACATTTATCTGCAGCAAAGTGGCCAATACCATGGCAGAAATGATGAATGCTGTAGTGAGTTGGAAATACGACTACTAGAGAGTCACTATACATAGTTGTCCGTGACATACTGAGACAAAAATGAGCAATGTGTACCTTTCAGAGTTACTGCTTCAGGCTATGTATTTTGTTACAACACTTTTCAAACTAGGTCAAGAAAACTGTAGTTAGTACAAATTATAGTAAAAGATTCAAATGATACTACTCGTTAATAATGCAGTGTTTAACTGGGTAAAAGGTATCTTCATTGAGTAGACAGTACACAAAGATTTAGAGTTTAGAGAAAGACAAAATAATAAAAAAGGTAAAAATCTGTCTTTTTTACTTTTATACACACAAAAAAATTGCAATTCTAGGAAAATCACCAGTTTTACTGAATTGATTTAAACAATTTCAGTTTGCAATCTACATCACGTTGTACAATTGCACTCGGTCTGCACAACTGTAACCCTGCTGGGAGCCATATTTCTTTTCTCTCTAAACATGCACTTCTCTGTATCAGCTGAGGCCACAGACATTTCTCTAGCAAAATTTTCCTGGAGCTGGCCTCAGCTATGAGTTTATACCTGAAAGAAGAAATTAAGCTTCTACTATGACTATAGTCAGAGCCCACTTAGTACCAAGTCAGCCTGTACCTGTGTGTATTAGCGGTGATATCTCTGACAGTTTTACTAGACAGATGTAGAACTGGAGATCGTTTTTCATTCATTCTAGTGTGAGTCATTGTTTAACTACCTTTACCAGATTCTTTGTTAAAGGTTAGGATTAGTAGCCTGAAGTCCTCAAGTCCAGTCTTGCTGTTTTCACTCACACACTGAATTCTGCAGATCTGGCATTCAGCTCTGGATCCTCCACTCTGGGAGCTCTCACACTGCAGCTTCACACAGCAGCCAGGAGATGGGGTGAAGAACTGCCAGTGATACTGGGCACTACAAGGCAATATTGGCAGTGGGAAGTGTCTCCTCTCTTTCCCATCCCCCTTCGCTTATGTATCCAGTTGTCCTGCTCTTTATCGCCAGCAGAATACCATATGCAATAGAAATCCTGTTTGATCTGGGGCTCATTGGAATATTTGAAAAAATACACACCTAAACCATTACACTCAAGAATGTCACACCTTGTGTCCAAGCACATGATTGTCAAGCTGGATGTCTTCTCTCATACATACATGAAGATATGCATCTAGCAAGTGCTAGTTAGTCCCTTACTATCATGGAGCAGCCAAGTCATAAAGGTTTCCTAAAGTTTTCAAGCTCCTTTCTAAAACTGTTTTGTCTCTTGTTTCACTTTTTGTGGTCAAAAATATCTTTGAGGAGTGTTCTCACTTGTCTGACAAAAACCTTCCACCAGTCCCTCCCAACAACAGTGTATTCATAACCATTTATATTCACCTTCTAGTGTGCCAGCAATTATAGTTTAGCTTAAATAGAGTTTTCCTCTCATTCCCCATGATACTCTAGAGAACAGCCCTTTTGTCTCACTCCTGTTGGTCTCCTTTATACCCAGTAGTTACCACAAACATTCAAGCCTGTTTTCTGTCCAATTTGGATCAGTAAGCCTGATGCATTGCTAGACTACTAAACAAAAATGGGCTGCCAGGATGTCCTGTTTTTTCTTGGCTGTGTTTTGTGGAATATTCAAGGGAACAGTCATGGTCTAAGATTTCCTACCTGACCGGTTGTGGAGTGGTTGCTATGCCTGTTGTACCATGCTATTGGTGCTACCAAGATTTGGGTACCTATTTAACATGTTTAAATGCAGAAATATAGGTGTCCTCTGAAGATTTGTACTGTGAAAATCTGGATGCCTTTTGGAGTACAAGCTTTTGGAGGTTAATTAAAAAATAGCAGCAAAAAACATAACAAGATGTTCACAATATGCAAAATCAAAAACCTTCCTAAATACGTAATTTACCTTTTTTAATTTAGAGGCTGAGGAAGAAACTTGACTGGATTACATCTGTTAAGTTAAAAAACCCCAGCAAACAAACCCTAGAAAAAGATAAAAGAAAAAAAAGTAATAATTTTTCATTTGTGCCTGATGGGGTTGTGTTGGTTTTTTTTTAACTGTTTGCAAATCTTCAGTGTAATGGTTTGAAACCCAGTCGTGTCATTTCTTTACGCCCACACACAGAGCTGCAGTAGTGCAGACACTGTAGCAGGCAAACCATATTACCAGCATCGGCCATTAAAACTCTTCCTACACCAAGCGTGGGCTGACTTCACCCCCTCCTCTCTTTGCACACACCCCACCACCCACCCTTCAATTTTCAAATGCTTAAAAAAAAGAGAAGAGAAAGACACTGAAAAAAGAAAACAGGATGCTTCTTTTGTTTCAGCGCTATTCCAGAGACCTGAACCTCTCCACCTGCCTGTGAATTGGCCACCTAAAGGTTAGCAAGTGTTTTGTTATCATTTTATATAGACAGAGATATAATTAAACTCTAGATGATAACACAGAAATTTTAAAGTTATGATTTTTTTAAATGTGATGCTTCTTTCACTTAGCAATGAGAAAGATTTTTTTCCTAAAACACAAAGCATTGTAGTACTGGCCCCACTTCTGTTTTTCAGAGGGCTTTAATAAGTATTTTTTCATCATTTAGTCCAACCTCCTAAACTTTAAAAGATGGATTAGGGTTATTATTTTTCTGTTAGAGCAACCTGTTGATTACAGGCTGCCGGCTGGAGGTTAACTCTTTCCTAACAAGGGAAATGCACAGGAGCAAATTTGATGAAAGAACAAAAGAATGGAAATCCTTTGAGGTTTTTAGACTTTTTAAGCACTAACAATCCTATCTTTTTTCATCATGAAGCCACCAACAGTGTTACAAAACCAAGAGATGTGTTAGATATGTTTCTTTTTAGAAAGAAGTGGTGTAAATTTAAAATCAAGACATACAATAAACTAGAAAGCATTTCTTATGACTGGAACTGAGAAAAGTAGCAGTATAAGAAGTAGAATAGGAAAGATTCTCTGATACAAATTTCTCAGAGATCAAAAGGGCCAATACAACGTTTACTTACACACTGAAGTCTATTTTAGCTAACAATGTTCTTATTGATTTAAGCCTTTTGGATGTTTTCATTTCTCAATATTCAAGAAAAGAAGAATCAAAAATATAGAGAACTGTATAGTAATGATCAAAACGGTGCTATCCTACAATGCAGGAAAGTTATTATAGATCACATTATTCTTAAAAGGTTTTAATACTGTATTCTGGTACAGTGTTTACAAAAATTAAAAAAATAAAATAATTTCACTAATATTACACAGTTGTGGAAGTACAGTGTCAAAAATATTTGTCCTCAGGCTATAGTACAATAATTGCAAAGTTTGATCAGCATGTTCTCTAGTTGCTTTGTACTTCTGTAACATAAGAAGCAGGGCAAAACTTCCGGAGCAATGACTTCTTAACAAGTAGCAATTCCTAAAGTCAGAATTTGAGCAAGAAATGTTATCACTGAAAGATTATGAGAGTTTCAGAAGATTAAGGAATTACACATTTTCATCCTAATTCTGCTGGGGACTGAGGCTCTCAATTTTGTTAATAAAGTTAGAAGCAGTCTGCACACTGCTGGTGGAACTTGCAGTCATTTCAGATGGAATACAGCCCTTAAGAAAAAACGAACCGGTGAAGTCAGTACTTCTGTTATGAGACATTTCAAGGTATGAAGTCAAACTGAGAAAAGAGCAAAGGCATAAATAGTTTTAAAGTAAAACAAGGTTAACAGTCATTTCTGGGCTAATCAGGAAATGTATCAGTTCCATTTTGCTAGTTTGAATTGAGGACTAGAAAGCACCAGAATTAGGGGTACGCTCAAAAACTTTTCCATCACACAAGTAGTGTTTAAAGTACCTGCTCAAAATTTGTTTCAGACCCTGTGTTTCACTATTACTTTATTAGATTTAAGCAGAAGTCTTGTCTAGTCAATCAAAGGAGTTCTTCATAAACACCGGCACCTTGTGCTAGCCGTCAGTGGTAGACGGGCAACTGCAAATGATCATTCCAGTATCTGTATCTTCTTCTGACAGTAGGAGATTATGTGCTGTTCTCAGCATCACTGTCCTCATATGAAAAATTGTTAACAATCCTTTAAGATACATATTTTTTTAAATTTAAGTTTGTAAAGTACTTTAAAGCATGTAGTTGATAGGATCTTTGAAATCTATTTCCTTATCAGTATAGGAAGCATGCTTATCACTACTTTCACTTGATCACATCTTTGACTAAGACCCTGTAGGTGTCTTCTTAGGATGCAGAGGTTTAGACACCTGGGAAGGAGCCCTCTCCACACATTCACTGAACCTAGAAATACATACCAATGGTATGGGGGTTTACCTCCTCAAATCCTGAGTAAGACATGAATTGGGAGTGAAGTGCAATATAGCACCACATACTCTGTACTGTGTAGTACCCGACAGTAGGCTTACCTGTATATATAGTTAAAACAGATAACTTTGCTGCATGTTGAGCTGAAGTTAATTGAAGTTAACTGAAGTTAACAGAGTTTCTCTGAGCAGGATAACATTTTGAACTTAAATTTGTCTTGAATAATCTTGTATAAAGATTCCAGTTTAGGAAGTGAGACCCAAAAATGGATTGGTTAAAAAGATTAAACAAAAATCACTTAATTTCAGGTAGAACTAATGCAGTGTAATACTGGTCCTCTGTATTAAGTGTACAGTTCAAATTACTTCTAGCCATCACAGCAACCTGTTCATCCATATAAATGGGAAGATTCATAGGATGCTGTGGAGTCAGTCTGATTCCAGAGTCACTTTTTCAAGGTTTAGAGAGTTTAGATCAAGCTTCAAAAGATTTTGTAAAGCCCTGAAACCTGTGTGATAGATGCAGACATCCACGCAGTCACTTGTTTTAGTTGTAACTTGCTTTATTTAATTATTGCTTCTTTAAGGCTCTTAGGATAAGAAGTTTGCAGCTTCAGCATTTAGAATTTGATATGCTACTGGGTGTTCTAAATAATGAATTATATGTGTTTTAGAGTTGTTACTAGTTCCAGCAAACTACTGGAGTTATTAGTACAGTTGAAAATAAGTGTCCCTTGTAAGTAAATGCACCTTAACTTAAAATAATAATAGTCTTAAAGTGGAATAAAATATAATGGGCTTCAGATATGTGATAAAACTGAAGAGAAACTAATTTTGACTGGTTATGTAAAATGCCCATAATCATGTGTTTGTATGATTTGATTCATGCCAGTATTCTATTATAAGATGTGCATCTTTTTTTCTCCGTTAGTTTGTTGACTGTAGCATGCAATAATCCTCCAGAAGATCTCACTTATATGTGAGAATCCATTCCTTTAGGAAAGTATCTCCCAAGAGAGCTGAAACTAGTCGCTGCATGTAGTTTTATCCATATGGACAGAATGAGTCTGTAGATCAGAAGCATGAGTCATTCTAAAGCAGTTCACAATGTCAAGTAGTTTTCTAGATTCAGTGATTTTAAGCGTTTGCAGTGCCATTACCAATTACTGGGAGCATTTCAGGGTATAATAGAAACTAGAAGGATTTTAAGGAACAACAGTAGGACCTGTTAAAGAGCATTTTTTCCCCCTGAATAACCAAAAGACAGGCAAGAAGGATAGGAAGAATAAGACGGACATATTTTTCCACCTCCAAAATTAGAGGCCTACTAAAATAGGGTCCAGAAACAAACTGAAAACAATCCAAACATCATGCAAAACTCTCCAAGATCAATAAAGCTGTGTAGAATTAAAATCCATTGACACCTTTGGCATTAATCTATCATTTGAATTACTAAAAGAAAGAGCTGCTGTTGCAGTGGATATTGGACAACCACAGTATTACAGTTTCCCCACTATCCAGTTGACAAGATACAGGCTGCAGCTAGCTGAGCTGGGCAGGTGCTCATCGCAGTAAAAGCTACATGCTCCAAAATAGTGTTCCTAAGGAATTTTTACAGGCCAGGTATGCTGATTTTGTAACATTATAGGGAATGCATATTCCGGTCTGGGATTTACTTCATCTAGTAGCCGTGGAGGAAGTAGCCATTCCAGTCCATATGCTAAGTGGGTGTTTGCATAAACACCAGCTGACCCCTGAACAGGTTACCCTGGCTCTGCTGACTGCTTTATCTGAGGATGCTTTATGAAGTCAACCCACAAATGAAATCCAAACTCTTCAAATGATCTTTTCACTTCTCCTGTCTGTCCCCTATCCTGTTTTCCCAACAGCTTTTCACAAATTTTAGGGAGGTCTGTTGAGCACAACCTAAACACTTCTAACATTCTTGAAGTATTTTCCCTCCTGGTTACCGCTTTCTACCCTACCTCAGGGCACCATCAGAAGACACTGGTGGATAATACCCACATTGGATAAATTTAGCATTTCATATGTAGCAAGTATCTTCTCCCCACCATTGTTTTCTTTTCCAACACATTTTAAGAGAGATTTTTACTGTAAAATTATAAGCAAATTATTTCCAGTATTCAGTATTTCACTGAATGATACAATTGAATGCAGTGTACAAAATGCCTGTGTTTGGAAGACAGCTGATTCTGTTTATAGGTTCCTACATGAATAATGGTAAAGGATACAAAGAGACTGAAATGCTACTTCATTTTCTTCTGTTTCATCTCTTCCTGTTTTCTGAAGGTTGTTACTGTGACACCAATGTGAAAAAAAAAGAAAAAACCAACTTCCTACTTCTAATCTGTTTCAAGTCTTTGTCCTCATTTCTCTCTGCTTGCATCAAGTATTGACAGAAATGAGTCTTCTTTTGCTGAAATGCCTCGCTCAATAAAAGGTACGTGAGCTAAAATTATTTACAGAGTAAAGAGGATTCCCCTTCTGTATGCTCTCTGGTATTATATTTAAGGTAGGGATCACAAAAGGCTTTTAAAAAAGGCAAAGACTTCTAGTATAATATAGTATATTATGTACATTCAGAATGTTGAAAAGCTGCTTCTGCATGGTTACAAAAATATGTCATGTCTACAGATTGTATCTGTAGACCAAACCAGGGGATTGAGGACTGTATCTGTTTAAGGACTGTGATGCTTCTCTCAATGGTGTCTCCAAAAATCTTATGTAAGTGCAGGAAATAAGTAGTTACATGTTTATTTAGTAATTTTATTAATAATGATGGACAGTTAACAGTGCATTTATGTGTGCCATGCAGGAGACAAAAATCTTTTGGTTGTATAATCCAAGATTATTGTAACATTGCTGATAAAATGAAGCAAGTTTTATAAAATAAATGGAATTCAGGAAAAAATTATATAGAAAAGAGGAACACATTGGATTTAAAATGAGGGTTTTATACCACTCCCCCTTATGAAAATACTTTATGGTTATTCTTATATACAGAATAAGACCATTTCTGCTATGCAGATTTGTCTGAAACTCCTCCACTTTCTGACTTTTCAGTGTTCCACAGACCTACTTATGGTGTGTACCTGAAGGCATAATTCAAACTAGGAACAAAATAATGGAATTTTACTGACCAGTTTTGATTGTTTAAGAAACTAATTTAGAAAATTTTGGACTGGCCAAATCCTGCTTTTAGCTTTGTTTATTGGAAATTTTTTGTTATCTAATTAGGATCCAGTTTTTACACTCGTAGTTCTGTGCCACAAGTTACAAATTGAGCTCAGAACAACAGGTCAATAGATGCTCAGTTACAGAACCTTGGGGAATAATCAACAAAGGAAGTTTTTCTACTTTAGGCAAGGACTAACCAGATGTAGCCTTGGGGTAGAATTAGTTTGAGATAAGCTATTTTTGTCAATGTGCAAAGAAATATAGTGGCTTGTTTTGTATATAAATGACAGATGTGAAAAGTATGGTTGTATTTGCCACAGTAGAATACCAGCCACAGAAATGTCACTTAGGAAGAAAGCATTTTTTGTTTGCCGTGAAAAGGAAACTACCACAGCCAGTAGAAATGTATTATTAAACTCTTAAATGTAATGAGATTGTGTCTAACCATTTCATTTAATTGTTTAGCATTAGTTAAAACTTTAATTTTTTTGTAATCAGTGAGGTATTTTCTTTGTAGAACATTACAGAGCACTGAAATGATTCTCAGAATCATACTGCGTTTTGGGCCACAGAAATTTAACAGAATAAGCGAAATTACACAGAGAGTCTGGTATTCTGGAACTACAGGATTTATATTAAAAACATCTGTCCACCACAAGTCCTACTAACTTGCAGGCTGGCCTTGAAGGGCCCATCAACTATGCATGTGCATGAGGATATTCAGAGGGAGGACATAGTTTGTGACACTGGAGCAGGCTTATCGGGACGGAAATGTAAATTCTGCATTTCCACTCTTCTCTCCAGGGGAAAGAGGTGAGCATAGGTACTATGACTTGTTTTGCCTGATGTGGTACGAGTTAGATGTTCTAGCTACATGGTATTCAGACTTCACTTTTCTTCTTGAAGTCTCGTCTCTGCAGCGTATTTTTTCTCCCTCAACTTTTTGTTATTTTCACCTTGTTGGAAAAACTACTGCATGCTTAGTTTATGAGTATCATTGGCTCATGTCTTATCACTTTGCTGCTGGTTTATTGTCTGCTCTGTTAAAATGGCTGTAAATAAAGGTGACTATATAGCTTAAGAAACATCTGAAATGGACTTGGAATGTCTATAACCTCACTTTGCAAATTAGAGAAATCCACTTCTATCCTGTAGGGTTAACCACGCTGCAGAATATGGATAACAACTGAATTCCTTTAACAAGCCGTGGTCTTTTAACATTCTTTCATGAGTATAGTGAACACCTATATTAAAATGCCACTTAAGTGATAGTTCCATGTAGAAATCTTTGAAGTGGACACAAAAAGTCCATGCTTGATAACTGCATTTGATTTATAAAATTCATGAGAAAGGAGAAAAGGCAAAATCTAACACACTGCCGTGCATAAATCAGTTCATTTTAGAAGCTATTTTCTGGGATTTTTATTACACTAAAACCTTTGGGTGAAGACAAAGAATCCCACCAGGCACTGATACCTTTCCCATAAATGGTCTAACCCTGAGCCCACTGCAGCTGGCAGGAAGCTTCTCAGTCCCATCAGTGGCCCATCAGCAGTTCTGTTGATGCGTGTAGTGCGTGCACAGAAGAGAACGGCCTTGCTCGTGACCAGAAGGAAAGTCAGAGAGCACATCCCAAGGTTTGCATTGCTTTTTTTTCATCCACTTTTCCAATTCTTGCAAGAAGCAAAGCAGATCAGAGAGAAACTGGAAGAAGCCTTGGCTCTGAAACATAAATTGCCAGCCAGCAACAGAACTTCCAGAAGCGGCGCAGAGTGAGGAGCGCAGAGTAATAGCTACCGGGCTCTTGGTCTGCTCAAGCAGACGAGTATTTACAGTTGCATTCTGAGCTACACATAGGGATGAAATAATCAGTCAGGTTAAAGGCAATACCATAGCATGTAAAAACCTTTTCCTTTGCAGGAGACTGATAACCAAGAGGATTGCTTTATCTTTCACTTTCAATGGTGCATTCATTTAATATGAAAAATACCTGAATTCCTAGTCTATTAAGATGCTAATTAAATTTATTACTGAGCACATAACTCATTGACCTTAACCTGTTCCGTTTCATCATTAATAGAAAGTTATTTTCCCATTTTTTCATTTGATGTGAGATGCTATCATTTTCAGTTGTCAAGTAACAGAAGTTTTCTTGGATCTCCATCCAACTTTATATCAACTTACCAGATTTATTAACTGCTCTTATAGTAACCAAGGAATACTCAAAAGAATTACACTGAGTTTGCCATTTCTCCTTTATGTGAATTATTTGCAAAATTCTCAGTAACTACATACAACAGAGATTTTGCTTTGAATAATGGTAACATAGTGTGTGTGTCATATAAAACCAGTCCAAATTTCAAACATTTTTGAGTAATATTTTCACTGTTTCCCAGTAATGATTACCTATTAAAATGATCCAAGAAGGGAACAGAAACACCACTACAGATTACATAGTAAGGCAACAAATAGCAGATTTCACATTTAACCACTGATTATGTTATTTCAGATGGGATTTTTATGACTGTTTGTACAAGAACAGCCTATTATTCATAACAGCCAGTGGATACAGAGCTGTGGGTATAGCTGTGAGTGTAGCTGAATAAGAATCCCAACAAACATTCACAGATCACTTTCTAATTTTCACCCAAACTATAATTACAAGAGGTTATGCTGATGCCTCTGTCAGCTCTTCCAAAGATAATTTTCAACTAGATTATTTTGATACAGTTTCCTAGTTTGTTTCTAAGGAACAATAAAAGACAAGACAAACTTTTGTTAAAATAAGTAGTCTGGATCAGCACCAACCCTGAATATATTTGGATAGATTTCATAAGAATAGGTTCACTTTTTCCAAAAACTGTGTCTACAAAATGTTTTCATCTGGCATTGAAATCATCTAAAAATAAGCAGTATACCATAATACTGCCTTTAATTAGACAAAATTAATTTGTGCTGCACAAAAGACAGCTTTAATTTATCCCACTATTCTCCTATGATACCATCTTTCCTACATTGTACAAATTTATGTAAATCTCACTTGTAAAACAGGACACCACTTTCATTTTGTTCACATATTTCCATTTTGCATCACTTGATGCAATGTGTTTAGCCTTAGCTCACATAACTGGGTAAACACAGATAATATGCAGCCAGGTTTAATGTCCTGTGTTTGGAACAGGTTACCCAAAGAAGCTATACAGTTTTTATCCTCAGGGGTTTTCAAAATCAGACTGGATAACACCCTGAGCAACCTCATCTGACCTCAGTGCTAACTCTGCTTTGAGCAGGTGTTTGGACTAGAGACCTCCTGAGGTCTCTACCTGTAATTGTTCTGGGTTTCTATGTCAACATTTATTAATGTAAATTCTTAAATTTAAAAAAATGGTATAAATATGTAATGGGAATATGGTTCCAGAAAATTAAAACTGTATTATTTCCGGGGTGCTGAGAGCCTCCATTTGCAAATCTGATATTCAGATTTATTTCTAATACTTTGAGTATTTACTGTAGGTTTTACGTGCAATGTTTAATGTTCTTTACACTGTACCAAACTAAGTCCTAGCTAAGACATTAAAGATGAATCAATTTAATTAGAAAATGAAGTAATTATTGTCTGTATTATGCCTGTATATAAGATTTGTGATATTCTTAATTGCTAACTTTCCCAGTCCAGCAGTTGAAAGTGTTTGTTTTATTTTGCTATTTGAAGATTCCTACTTGTTTTGTTTCCCCTCCCTTACAGATACATGAGCATATGGCAGATAACCTTTGAAATGGAGGCGCAGAAGCAGCCTGGTTTTACAGTTGCACTAGCAGATCGGCCAGTTCCAACCTCATCTCTTCACCCTGTACAGGGTTCTTCAGATCTCAGCCAAGGCAGTGCAGTTCCTCAACAGGAACAAGCACTGTCCCAACCTGTTTATCTAAAAGCCCTCACCATACCACTGTACCAGCCTGTCCAGGCAGGATGCTTCCAGCCAAACAGTCAGTTAGTGACTGGCAGGAGCTGTGTGAATCTAGATAGCAGTAATGTACCTCTAATCCTGAATCCACTTGTTACTTCAGAAGGCACAGATCAGCCTCAGTCAGTTTTTCAGAAACAACTTGGGCAAACTCTAACATTGAGCATAGTGAGCACTTTACCAGTTTTATCATCACCAAATTCTTGTGTAAATGCGTCTATTGGAAGCCCAGGAAAATCAAAAAAAGCTGGGAAATATATCTGCAAACACTGTGGACGAGATTGTTTGAAGCCAAGTGTCCTTGAGAAACACATTCGCTCTCACACAGGAGAGAGGCCCTTTCCATGCACCACTTGTGGTATTGCATTTAAAACTCAAAGCAATTTGTATAAACACAGAAGAACTCAAACACATGTCAACAATACCAAACTGCCCTCAGACTCTGACAACAGTGGCATACTGGAGCAAAATGAGAGATCAACAGAGAGCATCACCTCACATCAAGGCACAAAACTACTTAGTAGTACCTGTGAAGACAGGGGGATAGAGATGAAACAAGTGAGTTCAGAGACCAGTGCTGTCACAGACACTAAGAAACTTCCCAATGACCTTTCACTGCCAGCCACAAGCAATTCATCATTTGCTTCAGAAAATCAAGAAACAATGAATCAGTCCTTTAGTTCAAAGGCTAATCAGGGGGTTCCTGAAAGAGAACCTCAAAGTTTACCATCTCCAGGAGCTTTGCCAAATGGTCAGTGCCAGAGAAAGAAGATGCAGGAGCAAAGAACTCCAACTGCCAATAAGCACATTCAGTTGCAAAGGCAGCAAGCAACCTCTTCGGAAAAACAGTGGGATTACAAGCCATTTGACTGCAAGCTAAAGAAGTGTGAGAGCACTGACTCAGGGTATCTGTCACGCTCTGATAGTACAGAACAACAGCTGGCATCATCCAGCCCGTTGCATAGTCTGTATGAACACAGCACAGAACTGGAAAATGAAACTGCCTTCAGCAGCTTAAGGTGTACCTCCGGAAGCAGTGCAAAGCTAGATACAGCTGAAAAAGCTACAGCCTCGATGCTAGAGAAAAAGAGGCTGGAAGAACACATTTCAAAACTTATTTCTCATAACAAAAGCGTGGTGGATGATACCCAGTTAGACAACGTTAGGCCCAGAAAAACTGTCCTTTCTAAACAGGGAAGCATTGATCTGCCAATGCCTTATACATACAAAGACTCATTCCATTTTGACATCAGAACTTGTGATGTAAATAGGAAGAAGAATCTTCCCCTTTGTTCAGCAAAATCTACCTTTGCACCCTTAGAAAAATGCAAGCCAATGTTTTTTCATTCAGTTCCCACCCAGTTCTCCACAACGATAGATACTGTGCCTGTTACACGAAGCAACTCTTTGCCCTTTGTGGAGGGCACGAGAATGGTACATGACAAAACAGGTTGCTCAAAACCACTTTCTCTTACTAAGCAGACTGTAAACACAGGCACTGCTAGTTTGCTGCCTAGCAACAATCTTGCTGCAAATTCAGTGGATTTTCCTAATAGCCATCCCCGAGCTCTAGTCAGACAAACAGCAGTGGATGATTTGCCACTAAGTAATGTAGTTGATCACCCTCCATCGTCGGAGGAGTTGCAAGGGAATAAAAAGCTTGGGGCTGGAGAAGTAATCAGTGCTAAAAATAAGAAACACAATCAAAGGAAGTTAAAGATGTTCTCTCAAGAAAAATGGCAAATGTATGGAGATGAAACATTTAAGAAAATCTACCAAAAAATGAAAAGCGGTCAAAATGCCAAGAAAATTAAACAAAGGGGGAATAAGATTGCAGATATTACAAGCTTCACACCTGATTCAAAGGAATCAGTCAGCAGTAGTGAAATTACTGAAGAAAGAGATGGCAGGAGCTCTGTAAGTGACAGTCTTTCCTCCCCTGTGACAACAGGTTTAAACACTGGTAAATCAGAAACATGTACTAATGGTAATCATATTCTACAGAATGTGTCCTCTGAGGAAACTGCAGACAGTGTAACCTACCTAATGGAGACATCACAGTCAGTAAATGCTGGTGCACATACTGTAATGAGCAAAACTTCCCAAGACCTCAGTGGCAGTGACACAGATAAATACACAGCTGGCAACAGCACATTACTAGCTCCAAGCAGTTGTGAACTCAGGCTTCAAAATGCTCAGTGTCAGCTGAACACTAACAGAAGGAATGATGACCACTTGCCAGCACAGAGTAGCAAGTGGGAAAAGCCAAACCTTGGGAAAGAATCCAGTACATTTGAATCAGATTGTAAAAGCACTTCAAACAATTATGGAAACCATAGCAGGAGTAAGGAAACTGGCCAGCACGCCCTGACACCCCCATGGGTCCACTGCAACAACAGCAGAGAAGCTGCAAGAAAAGCCCAGAATTTACCATCGGAAAGAAAAAAGCTGAAATTTGAAGTGGAGAAGACACAAAACATTATTTCAAAGTCCTGCTGTAGTCCAAGTAGTGAAAACAATGCAGCAAATGAAGCAGAGAGAGTCAACTGCACTAGCACACAGTGTCTTTCCACAGCACCAGTGAAACTGTCCAGTAAAGCAGAGGAGCAAAATTTAAGCACAGGAATTAATGAATCCACTGGAGGTACTGACAATATGGCATATACGAAAACAAACAAACTCCCCACAAAAGCTCTTAATTCTAGTGATGTTAACCTTCTTTCACATGCAGCAGGTACCTCAAAAGCTTCATTTGTGGGATTTTTAGGGCCTGAATTAAGGGGAAGTGATTGCAACTCTTCTGCCTTGCACAATGCAACAGATAAAGATGTCAAAACATGTCTTGTGAAAACAGGAGAAAAAGTACCACTTCTCAGTGACAATGCTGTTGATGTGTCTTCTAAAATTCAGCATCTGCAATCTGGTCATTTAACTCCAGTCCCACAACAAACTGCCTTTTCTCCAAAATATATCCTTAAATTGCCGCATGACAAAAGAGCCTCCGATTTGTCGCTTTTGCTTAGATCAGAACAGAAGATTACACCTTGCACATCTGTGACAGACACCTTAGCCAACCCTCCCTGCTCTTCCAGCAGCGGATCACTCAGTTCTCATTCTAATGATGTATTTTGGTCCCCTTTAAAATTTGAAGTGAGACAAAAGGCCAGCAAAGGAGAGCTACGATGGAATGTACATGCAAACTGGAAAACTCCAGTATTTTGTTCACCAGTCAATCCAGAAACAACAAATATCTTAACCACAGCAGATAACACCTTTTATAACCAAAACCTCAGGCAGCAGGATATTTTAAGAGATGCTTGGAAAAACAAACAGAACAAAAATAAATTAAATTATCAAAGGCAAACAGAAGAGAAGTGGATGAGCATAACTACTTCCTCCACACAGATCCCAAAGAAGAAAATATGCTTTACTTCAATGTATACAAGTGGTTTTTTCATATCAGCTGACATCAAAGAAGAGAGAAAGGTTTTACATCATCTTTGCTCAGGAAGTGACTCTTTGATAATGACGTCAGCTTCTAGCAAGGGTGCGGAGCCAGCAGTCATGGGATGGGACGGAGGTGGAAGCCCCTGCATTCTTAAGGACATTTCACCAACACTGCAGGATACGCAGCATTCTCAGAGCTCAACAGACAACCCCACTTATTTTTGCCATTCTTTCAGCACTCTTTATTGCCACACTCTCACCACTCACTGTAAAGAATTCCCAGTGCTGCCCCACAATAATCTGACATGCTACTCTGGAAGTTTAACGGTACCAAGCACGAAGAGCACCTTCCCATCACTAAATGCTGAGCCTCGATTAACTTGGTGTTGTTTAACAAGAAGCCTGCCTCTGCCTGCTGAGCAGAAGGGGAATGCAGATTCTGCTTATTCCTCCATGCATGCCTGTGACAAGGAATCTAGCAATGAATGCACACTCTCAAAATATGATATTTCTATTTTCAAAATGAAAAATATTAGCAAGACTGTGGCATATGGCTTAACAAACAGGAGCTTAAAAACACTGGTTTCATCCTTCTCTGAAGGACAACAGATGCAGGAGGTAATATTAATAACCCTATTTCCTCTCTCAGGTGGGTGTAATTGGCTGACACCCTCCCACCCCCTTATTAGAAGAAGAATTATCAAAAGTATATTTATGGACATGTACGGGCATTTGTCAATACAGAATTTACAATTTATGTTTTTATAAGTGAATCTACATATTCATTTGATGCATGAAAAATACATACTTTTCTGTGAATATTTAAGTTTCTTTCACTTGAGAATTTCAGTAGGAATGCTATCTAGTGAGAAGAGTGTCTTTCTATTGCTTGAATTTTTCCCTTATGAGTATATTTTATGTAGTTCTGTATGTGTATTTCACTGCTTTAAATTAATATTTGAATTAGAGTGGGACTTAAGTAGCCCATTAATGTCAAGATTTTATTAGACTTGGAGATACTTGGAGTCAAAGACAGACTGTCTGCTAGGTCTCTCAGAATTCTGATACACTGAAATGACAACAAAATCAAATTGTATTAATACCCTGTAAAGTGTTTAAGGCTTGAAAGCTTTTCTTTTTTAGGTGAGTGAAGAAAGACTAGTCTATCTGTACAAATCCTAAACCAGCTCTGTAAGACTAAGCTTACTTGTTATATAGGAAGACTATGACAGAACATAGACTAATTCTATATAGATCGACAAAAGCAGTGAGTTGTTTTAATTTTATTTTATAAAAGTAGATTACAAAGTGATTAGAAAAAACTAATACACAAATTGTAGGGAAAAAATTCACCATTGTTCTATTTAACTATTATGCAATTCAGTGCTATTTAAAAAGAACATAGATTTCCTATCTCTCAGTTAATGTAATTCACAATTTTCATGTACTTCATTTTTTTCCAATATTCTCAACAGTTAAGCTCAGCAGCTCATGGTGGTGCTTTCAAAAATATTTCAGAGCAAAAGAAGAAAATAGTAGTTTGCAAAAAGGAAAAACTCTCAACAAATAAACACAAGAGGAGCCACAAACAGAAAAAGATCAAAGTCACCCCCAAATGGTAAGGAATATGGTTTTCAGCTTCCTCAGATACAGACATAATTTTGGTAAAATGGGTGTAAAAAGTCCACAGAAAATAAAAAGTCATGCCCAAAATTCAACCTTATCAAAATGGGGGGAAAAGATAAATGCGTCTGAATGCGCTATTCCCACATTGCAGCAGTTCCACAAAGGTAAACTGTAAGAAATATGTTGTTTACTGTCAGGAACAGACTTTTCTAAGCTAAACAGACATGTACCAAAGACCATGATTGGTCAGTGGACTCTCACTATGCTTTAGAAATGATTTTTATCTGTCAAAATTGTCAGCAATTACTTTTGTTTCAAGGGAACCAAAATATTTCAGCTTTGAATCCTGCTGCAGCTAAAAGCAGTGCGCGAGGCCCTTTTGTCCTCAGAAGATCTATATCCCGAACTTGTATTCACCAGAGAACACAGAAGAATAAATATCAAGTTCTAACACAAACTAACGAAACCATCTGTAGTTTAAAGGATCATTTGGTTTAAATAAAAAGCAGGAAGAATTTGAGTATAAAACTATCAAAGGCACATTGTATCAATCAGCACAGGTTCTCCGTATTTAATGGGAGTTCGTATCAGTGGAAGATTTAGCCTCTAATCTTTCAAGAGTGGTGTAGCAGAATGTCTGATGAATTGCTTCAATAAGAAACACATACTGTGTACATACATCCCTCTTATTTTATTTCATGGCCAAAATCAGACAGAGTGACTCCCTTGTGGACAAATCAATGTCAGTAACTTAATCACTGTGTCTAGTTTTGCAAACAGCATTGCAATTTTGAAGGATCGTAAGAACAAAAATAGAAGACTCAGGTCTATGTTATCCAGTTTAGTGATACTCTCCTAGGACTTTTTTTCGAGTTGGTTTTGGGGTGGGGTTTTTTTCGGCTTGTTGTGGGGTTTTTTGTTTGTGGTTGTTGTTTTTTTTGTTTTTGTTTTTGTTTTTTTTCCTGCTGATCTCAGAATTAATTTATTTAGCTATATCAAATAAGTACAGGGACTCAATTAAGTACAGGGTCCTGAAAGCTCAGGTCATACATAGTAGCTAACTGGTCAAACCTGTTAATCATGAAATGTAAACTATTTTTCTAATACACCAAACACCTGGATAAGCACACCCTTTAAGATTACTTATTACCCTGTGTATAGTGACCGATTCTATCAATATAGGAACGGGACCTTCCAATGCACTTTAGTCTCCATCATTAAGAGTTACTGAGAGATTTAGCTAGAGTAGAAAACAAAGCAGAGTCGGATTATTCAGTATGAGTTTTCTAAATAACTGCAATACTTATGTTGGTCATTAGAGATGATGAATAGTTAGCGTGCAAGAAGTGAAAAGTAGAAAAGCCAACACCTATACAGTCTCAGATGACTCCTGTGCAATTCAAGTCTTTATGAAGTATGTGTTAAAATTCCAGATGCAGGAAAACGGCTCTGTTATTCCTGAATCCTTTTCTCTTAGCAAACCAAGGATTTACTGAATCCTACTGAGGAAAAATTTAATCAAATAATTATGGGTCTCTTGCTAAAATTCTGACTTTTGAGTCACCATAAACGAACATCTCCTTCATAGGAGTAAATTGTTGTTGGACGTAAATTTATCTGATGATGTGGTATTATTCAACTCTGTCTGCTTTTAAATAGCACATATTTGTTTACCCTTTCAATGCCATGGCAATGCAGGTACAGAGGGAGGCACGTACATGGATATGCTCAGTTGAAAATTAACCGACTCAGCAAGCGGCACCGTTTTCCAAACAGAACACTGGATGCTTTGAGAAAGGGCTGTTCATCACAACCCTGTAAATTTAATAAGTATAAGAAGTGCCATTCGCCTCAATCAAAGATACAAGGTAAGTATTTTGAATATTTTTTAATGTATTGAATGTTTATTTTTTAAGAGAACGAACATCATCAGTATCTCTGATATGCAACTGTTCCAAGTGGAACTGCAAACCCCTTCTGTCCTTCAGTATGTTTTGCGAGGAAAAATACAATCTCACACGTTTTCAGAACTGAACACGCAGTGACGTTCACCACATACTTACATATGTGAATTAGACAATTAAGGGGGCATTTTAAAAAGAAATAACTCCAGCCAGTAAGTCAGCTTCATTGGGGGCCCCACTTCACTGCCTCTGTGCAAACGCTCGTAGCACGGGGAATGAACAAGAGGAACTAGAGACGTGAACACACCTGCAGGGCTACGATCCCACTGACACCACGGGGACGTGGTGGGATGGCTCCTGTGATGGAGTGTTGGGATGGAAGGATACAGGCTCTTTAGGAAGGACAGGCAGGGGAGAGGAGGAGGGGGGTCACCCTCTATGTCAGTGACCAGCTGGAGTGCTGAGAGCTCCGCCTGGGGATGGGTGAGGAGGCGACTGAGAGCTGATGGGCCAGGATTAAAGGCAGGTAGGGACAAGAGATGTTATCGTGGGGGTCTGCTACAGGCCACCCGACCAGGAAGACTGAGTGGATGAGGCCCTTGATAGACAGACAGGAGCAGCCTCACGTTCACAAGCCCTGCTCCTCATAGGGGGAAAATTTTCTATAGGTACGTCAGTGATAAAAGAAAAACTAGAAAATGTAGACTGGGAAAATGTATCAGGCTTAGAATAAAAGTCTACGGGAAGTAATAAAAACATAGTAGTGAGTTCAGTGGTATGATGAGAAATTTAGTTAATTTCTAGCATGTGGGGGAATAAAAATCAAAGTAAAACTTTCTTTAACCTCCTTTCAACAGAAAATTACCTACACCAGCAAAAAGATGCATCTTGTTCCACCTCAGACAAGGCACTTTGCAGAAGAAAAAAAGAAGGAAAGAATGACTCAGGAATATCTTCCCATACTGAAAATCTAAACCATGTGAAACAAAAAGACAAAATGGATAAAAAAGTAGGTATTGTACCTTAATTCATGTATTACTTTTTATTAAAAGAAAAAATGATACTGGTAATGAAAACAGATTATATTCAGCTGGTTTAAATTTCGAGACTACTTTTTTTCAGTTTTTGTTTAAAATTTGCTAAAGGTATTTTTGGGTTTAAAATATACTGAAAATTTACTAATGTTAGAATTAGCTTTTTTAAAAGAACAGTTAAATTTGAATCACTTGAAAAGGCTATTTCTCGTGCTTGCTGTCAGACGATTGATTAGCCCTGATGCCAGAGGTGCCCGTAGATGTAGCACAGGGTATCCTGAGACACAGACAGTAAGCTTGAAACTAGAAAAATGGGGAGGGTAGTAATGGCCCTGTAGTGGTGTGTATCCAGTGTCACTGCTAAAGGGCTAAAGAAATTCAGTTCTTTAGCCCTTTGTGGAAGCCAGTGCTGCTGTGGTTTCAGTGCTACCACTAGCTGCATTAGCTAGAAGGGGCCCTAGATTCATCTGCCCATGCTGCAAACGGTGCTGCTGTATGCAGTGTCAGCACAGCTTCTGGGACTATTCTATGCTTATCCTAATTATACTTTCCCCCAGTTCCACTGGCCACGCTTGAAGACAAAAGCTTCTGAGCCAGACTGCTGTTAGGTAGCACAAGCATTGGTTCCTCAGGTAGCATAAGGAGTATCAGCTTTAGGAACCTAATTCTTAAAATATTTTTACTAAGTAATTTTATTTCCTACATATATCTCACCACCTCAGACATTGTAATATTTCTTACAGATTCATCACAAACCTTTCCCCTCACCTTGCACAAACATCACTGCAATATGTACACTAAACTATCTTAATGAAAGGAACGTCATCCTAGACAGTACATAAGAATGCAGATTGAAACCCCTAATCCCTATCATCCATAAATTAGTAGCATGGTCTGTCACCTACCCAAGAAAATAAAACACAAAGGAAAAAATACATCCTTTGCTACACCTCCTCCACATGCTGGGAGGAAAAAACCCAGTTTTCTCATGAAAAGAGAGGGATGAGTAACTGGTTTGCAGTAATGAAATAAAAAAAAAAGAGTGCAAACATAATCACAGTTGTATAAATAAAGGTTGACATTATGTTTAATTACTCAGTTGATAGGAGTTATAGCAGGGGTAAATGTTTTCTCCTGATATAGGCAATTTAGTTATCATTGCACTTTTATGAAGGATGGAATTGCTCTGTGTTGAAAATTTTAAATGTATATTTTCTTCCCCCCTAATTTCTACAGGACATTTCTGGGCAAAGCAGGGAACAGACAAGAATGAACATTACAGCTCCTCTGGAAATATCTCTGACAGCTCATTCCTTTTCATCCGCAGTCAATACAGCCATGCAGCAAGTCAGCAGTGATGTGGAAATCTGCTGTTTAGTGACACAACCACTCGTGATTCAGCGATCAGACCCAGGGGAGTCACAGCCAAACATTCAGAGTGTCGCAGTGGCATCTTCTTTCTGGTCTTGCCCTTCTGATTTTACAAATACAGGCACAGGTGGCCAACTTGACAGCACAAACTCAGAGACTCTTTCCGTACAGCTAGAAGTGAGCCAGGAAAACACATTAAATGTAGAGTCAGAGAGCCGAAGAGTCGGTACCTTAGACCCAGTGATCCAGGCCTCAGGAAGGGAGGAACCTCCAATTGAAGAAAACGCATATTCATCTCCAAAAGAAAACTCAACTCCCAGTTCCCAGCCTGGATGTTCACGTTTATTCAGCTCAAAAGCAGAGTCTCTTCCTGCGTCGGTCACAAGGGCTAAATTACCCAGTATAGAATACACAGAGCGGGCAAACTTTTCTCAAAAAGCCCTTGACCTTCATGAAAGCACAGACAAGAATGGAACCCAGCTCCAGTCCAACAGCTATGGAAGGCCACGTGAAACAGCTACTACTGCCTTTAAAAAGCCCCCAGCGACTCTCAGGTCTGCCGAGTTCAAGACTTACTCTGCAACACCTTCCAAGACTTACAAAAAGAGAGGTTTAGAGATGATGAGGAAGCAAACCAGAGTTGAGTATGATGACACTAGCAGTGATGATGAAGATAGGCTTGTTATAGAAATATAGCAAATAGGCTGCTAACAAGATGCTTGTATGATGGCCCATTACAGAAGGAAATACTGCGGATGTCTGATCTGTATTTCTGAAGCACCTTAAAATCAGAAAAGCCATTCCTCTGCGCAATAGGCAGCATTCTCTTCTGAAGAGTCTTTCAAGGACTTTTTAAAAAAAGCTTATTTGAAGCAAAGAGGGAGCTGGCATCACAGATTTAAATGCAAGTGGTAAACCTGTGCTTATGAGGGGTTTCCAGCATTGTTAACACTTTTACCAGTCACATATAATTCCCACAAGTGCTAGCTGCAAGTGGTTGTATTATTAAAAGGCTGCAGCGTATTTATTTACTACTAACAATACAATAGCAGCAGCTTCCTCAATGTATGAGCTAGGATTTCCTGGAAGGGTATGGATGTATTCTCTTCTCTATACTCCTCTTTTCATGTAGTCACTGCCACCTGCACTGGGAGTGACTCACTGGCGTTAAGGGGAAGATCTGTTCCCTAAGTATCCGTGATATTGGGAAAGTCTGGAAAAATGTCAATCTTTTTCCATGTTGCACAAATGTCAATGCTTCTTTGTGACAAATGACACAAGCATGCTTTGCTTTGTGTTTTGTGCCTTTTATGCCAAGATCTACTCAAATATTCTTGATTTCTAGTTGGAGAATATGGGTGTTAGCTATTGATATTTCCTTGTGGTAAAACTTCTAACAAGGACTTTCTCATTATATTCATCACATTGTGCTCCAACAGATGTAATCTGGAATGTCTCATTTTTATTGTAATCTTAAGTTTAACTGCAATTATGCTATTTTATTGAGAGTAAATAAGCTATATGGCATAGCTTGTTTTCTTTTTTTTTTTTTTTAAAAAAAAAGTTTTGTGCTACGAACCCTAAACTTTACTGGTTTCTATGTGAATAAATAATTAGATATTTTAAATTGACCAAGTGTATTCACTTGCTTGATTAAACTGATAAACATTAAGAACATTCCACTTCTACATTATAGTCAAATTCTATACTTAAACTTCTAGTGTTCTTATATTGTGAATCATACATGGAGTTTTATGGATTAACCTACGTGGGATATTTGGAATTGCTTTCACTTTAATCATGCACAGGTAAGTTTATATAAATCATAGTCACAAAAAAATCTAGTATACTACATGATAAAAATATATGTATGTGTGCAAAGAGATGCCAAAACAACTAACAGATAAAACAAGTGCTAAGTCCCATGCAATTCCTGTGTTTTCAGATGTCTTACAAACATAACAAGATTTGAGGTTGTTTGTAGCCTCAAGTTATGTTCATAAATTTGTTAGTGATACAGAAAACAAAAGTAATGATAAAATTATTGCACCAATTTCTAATTTTAATGTGTAAAGAAAAAAAATTAGGAAAAAAATCTACTTTTTCAGAATAGAGAATGAACCATGAAAGATATTTTTCCCTTTCTAAAAATGTTACAATATTACACCGATTACACCAATAATTGGTGTCAAAACTGCAAGGAAAAAATCTGGTAATATTAGTTTAAGGAATGATGCATTTTTATTCTCCTGCTTTACTTCTCATCTACCAAGTGCTGGCCTTATATAACAATAGTATTACCACTAATCTGTTGGGTCGTGATCAGAATTTGCTCAGATATACAGTGAACCGGTCTGTTCTTTTGCTACACTTCATGGTAGAGTTCTGTAAACCTCAGTGTTACCTCCACATACCACACAATGAGACACTAAGGTGAAGTAACAGCCTCCTTAACTTGGGAAGCCCGGTATTTATTGCTCAGCAAGCACGGGCATATAGCTGAAGAATGAATGGCATCACCAACGGTGGATTGCAAGGCACTGCAAATTGCGTATTTTATTGACTGAGATACAGTACAAAAAAATACCATTTTGCTTAGAATAATACAGCTGAAGAGAATGACATAGCTGTAGATTGGGTTTATATTATAATTTTCTCTTTATATTGTTAAATTATTTTATCTTAATAAAAATGAAACATGAAGATCTTAGTACATGCACTAGTATTATAGTTCAAGCATATTAACATTTAATGATTTTTAGGAGCAATTATGCTGAATTTCTTTGTCTACCTAAAACCTTAGCAGAAGAACTAACATGTTACTCAGGAAACTTCAGAGTGAGATTATGAACGAGAAAAATGTTGGTAACATCACTAATACAACAAGTTTCAATAGGTTTGGTATTACAAGGACAAGAAAGATCAAAGAAAAACATGTCTTTGAAATCTTTCCTGGTCTGTTCAGTATTTATGTTCCAGGAGAAACTGGAGAGCTATTTGGGTAAATCTCAGGTGCAAAGAATTGAAATAATGTGAATTTAAAGAAGTACACTAATAGAACTCCAACTAGGAGAGAACGAGAAAAAGAAGAGGGAAGAGGGAGGTGGAGGAGATGCTACCAATATGGCCACAATATTGAACCATTCAGAGTTTTGGAACTTTTTTTCCAATGGAATCACTGAAGGCTACAGCTGGATTCTGAATCTGTAGAAAAAGCAGGAGAAAAAGAAATGCAATGCTTACAGAGATACAGGTCCCAGTGCTCCCCGCAGTGCTGCCGGCCAAGCTTTATTAAAGGCTGTACGAACGCTGTCCCACAGGTGCTTCCATGAATACGTTCATTAGATAATCATACTAACAAAAAAGCCTGTGCCTGGTTTAAGCTGCTTTAGCTTCGGATCTTTTTCCACCTTCATTTTCAAACTCTCTATAGCTCTTTGTTAATAGTAGTATGGACAACAAGAAAGTGGGTTTTTTTTCAATTTTTAATCAGAGTTTTCAATTCTGTGCCATTCCATCACAAAATTTGAGAAAGTAAAATCTCGAATGTTTCAAAGTTCTGCAAATGTTCTCTTAAAAACGTATAGTCTTTTAGAGCTAATGGAAAATTTCCACACCTGTTAAATCGATCTGACCCAGCTGTAAAGGAAAGTTTTGACAAGGACCTTTAGAAAGCGCAGTACAGAAAGCCACTGTATTAAACCACACCAGCAGCCTCCGCAGCAACTGCAGTCACCTCTTGCCTGTGCTAGAGCTTTATTATTACAATTTATGGACATGTAATGAATATGCTGTATGAAGTTTTTTGCATAATGTTTGTGGCTAAATGATGTATTTTGAAGTTGAACTTCTAGATCAGTAATTTAAAAATATTCTAATGACAGACTCAGAAGTTCTGTGCAAAGAAACATCTTGTGTATATTTTACAGCATTAAATATAGAAATTTCTTTGTCCAACTGCAACTGTAGCTGGAAGAAAAATGGAACAATTTTAAGTTAGCTGGGAAAATACATTTTAAACTCTGTTTCCTGACAGAAGTAATCCTTGATATTTTATCTCAATATATAGTATAGAAATTTGACCTAACATTAGAGTTGAAAACCAGAAAATTGTAGCTCTTTAAAAGCACTGATAGATCTATAGTGGCATTTTTAACAGTATCACTAAAGAAGCACAAATCTCAGGCATAACCACCCTTGGAGGAGTAAGGTCTGAATCATGTACATCAGTGTGCGAAGACTGAGAAATGTTCTTGGTTTATGTGAGGGAACTCAAGGAGCTGCATATCCAAATCCAGCGGCCATATGGCCAACAGCGTCTTTTGGCTTTCCAGAAGATGCAGTATTGATAGAAGAGCATACAAGGCTACACAGGCAAATGATTCTCTACTTTTTACACAGCTAAAGTGTCAGCCGTGCAGGGATGTATTTAATTAATTCACGAGAAACTGAACATCAAAGCCACATGAGGGCACCAGGCACAGAGAAAAATCTGTGTTTCTTTATCCTCCAGTCAGCAGCAGTTCTGACAGATCATTGCTTTGTTAGAAGCAATTTGAAATTTCTTTGCACATGAATGCATCTCATCAACTTTTTCCTCCCTCTGCTGAAGGAAGCAAATTAATAAGGAATGCTGATCACTGATAAGATCAGTATTTCACACCTACATCTACTCAAATCGACTGTAAATAAGTGGATGTTTCAGATTTCCCCTCTTTAGATGTGAACAAACTGTTTCTTATTGTTTCAGACTTTTATATTAGATCTTATTAATTATTGATACTTCACTGATCTGCCTGGGAAACCCCAACTCATACACAAGGGTGGATGAGAGGGGTATGAACCAACCAGAGCAAGTCCAGAGATAACCAACAAATATAAAGATATGCCTTGGATACATAATTTATGAGAAAAGATAACAAGAGCTGGCTAGCTATCAGAAGAGGAAAGGGAATATGCACAGAAAGTTCAGTAGAGGAATGCGGGAAGACTATCACATTCATCTGTTTTCCACATCCATTCTGGGATGATACGAAATGATGGGCTTAATTTGCAGCATATAAACTCGATATTAAGAAAAACTTCGTATTTAAGGAGCAGCAAAGCGTGTAACAGATAACTGAGGGAGACTCTTCATCACTTGGGAACTTCATTTACAGTTAGGGCAACTATTTCTTATTATAGGTATAATATTTAGGGCTGGAACAGACTTTCTTTCCAGCCCTATTTTTTATTCATAAACTCTTGCTGGTCAATAGCTTCCCTAAAACACAACGTCTAAAATATTTTGCACTTCTGTGGCTGTATATGCACTACTGATACACACAGAGAGCAGCACCTAAACACATTTGGTTTGCGTTACTCGCAAGGTGTATCTGGTTTTGTATATTGCCTATGTTTTATTTACACAACCAAATTTGTTCCCATTCATGACTGTTTATATTATAATAATTTTCATGCAGATAAGAACCTTTGTTAAACCATTAATTTTACCCTAAGGATTTTTGTGGAATCATGGCTACAGATTGACTCCTGGCCTGTATTTTTCCTTTACCATCAGCATTCCACAAAAGTCGTGTGGATGAAAAGGTCAATATTATTATTTTTTGACTTTAAAATACTGTGAGATTTTAATAGCACATTTCAAGGGTCCTCGTGGAACTCGATAAATGTCATGTAGCAGCACGGAATTTAAAATCTGTGTCCGCCAGGGAACTATAATGTTACCACAGCTTGGTTATAAGCCATTCTCTTAAGTTTAAGCAGTACTTAAATACAAGAAAGTGGCTTTCTTTCTCACAGTCAAAGTCAATGTACCTATTGACTACTCATGACAACTGCCTAAGTATGTTCTGTATTTATGTAATGCTTGAGTTTAGAAGAACCACAAAGGCCAGTAAACAAGGAACGGACTCACTTGAACGTGTTTGTGGGTGCTATGCAAAGGACTCAAAAAGGATTCTTGTGTCACGGGTGTATAGACCATTCTGGCTTTAAAAAAACCTCTCTATAAGTATCATTATCAGTCCGTAATGATTGTTAAGGTTTAAAAAACAAACTGAAACAAGGTGATTCTAATACAAACAATTAATGAATCCATAATCCATTTTTTTTAAGCATCACCAGTTTTGTGTATATGCATTTGTAGCATGTTTTTGTTTCACTAATTGACAAAACAAGCAGTTCTAAGTACAACATCAGATATAATACTAGGAGCATGTACTTGATCCAACAATGATTGGAAGTGTTTCAGAGGGAGCTCGTTCAGATATATTAGATTCTGATTCTTTTCAAAGATTCTTATGCATTAACAAAATGAGCAGTTGGATGAAAGCCGTGGGAGCTGTGTTTCATAAGCTACTGTGGTCTTGTTTTCCAGATGTCTTTGACTGCTACTTTGGTTCAGCAGTACTGCTGATGAGGTCAGTCATTCTAGACCAACGTAGACAGCTAAGCCTTTGTGGAGTCAGGCTTCAACGTATCTTTCTGCATTACACTTAACCTCTGCAAAGCAAAGCCTCTTACCCATTATAGAGGTATTCATGGGGCAGAATTAAGGTCACATCAACATCCCTCCTCACTCTTTTGACACTGATAGAGCTACGGTTGGTGTTTATATCTAAAAACCTTTCTATGACTTATCATTCCTTATTATATATATCATATTAATATTTTTCTTGAAAACATCCTTCTCATTTCATTGAACGTTCTTAAATAAAACATTCTGTCTCAAATACACAGCTGGGAGTATGACAGGGTCATTCAGACGAGTTGCTGTTGCCCTCTCTCCTCTGTAAAAAGAAGCCATTACAGAAACTTCCTCTTCTCCATCAAAATAGTTAATACAAAAAGAAAAGAATAAAATTTATTTCCGTAGCATCCACTGGTAAACTTAGGTTAGCAGCTAAACGGGGGAAAGGGATTCAGGGTTGTTCCTACCTATGTCAGGAAACCACAAGAAGAGGAATACTTTACTGGGAGGCTGAGCCAGGGCTATGATAGTTAGCTCAAATCTCAAAACTTGTACGTACAAATGCAATTACGAGATTGGCACAACTACTAATTTAGATAGCTACATGCACATACATGTTTATGTCTGTTGGCTGGAAGGAGGAACAGGGAAAATTACACCTCCTAAAAAGTAATTTGACCATTAACTCTACAATGGTTCTTAATGTTCCTGTTGCTTACAGAGAATAATCTGTGTTGAGCTCCTCAAATGGAAGGCAATACAGGCATAAAGCACATCAGCACAGCCTCAGCAGCCCACGAGTGTTTTGTATTTCAACTCATCCCCCTTATGAAGAAGTTTTGCATAACTTTGTTGATAATAGTTATGCGTTATGCTAGCTCCAAATGGAGCAAATAATGAAAAAGGGAAATGATACAAAGGTCCCAGACCTCAAATCACTAGTTGTCCAGAATGAAGAAAGTAAATATAGCTAAGTAAAGCATAAAAAAGGTGCCTCATCCTGTGCAATATTATAAACCTTAAGAGGTTATATAAAAAAGGATTTACAAACTTTGATTTAAAAATAAAAACAAAAGCAAAATGGTCATTATTACATGTTTGATATGAAAACATCAAAACCTTTTTTTAAGTTGTACCAGCTGTGGATAGGCAGATGTGAACTGTTGGACAATAGTCAGAGAAGTGGAATTAGGGAAATACCCATAATTAATAATGTGCCTGCAG